CCTGGGAAAGGAAAAGGTGTCACAGGAGCCATTTTATCTTTGGATTTTATCTTAGCCCCATTGGTTGAAGGCAAGAAAAAAAGAGAAAGAAAGCATAACTGGTTCCTCTCTGTTAGCACAGGAGTTATATTGTACACTACTTTTTTATTAAATAAATAATAAATAAATACATTTATTGAGTGTATATAGGACTTTTCAAAACAGATGTCTCATAATGCTACACAGAACATAAATCAAGTAAAAACAATAAAGTAACCATTAAAATAGATCATCAAAAAATACCAATAGCAATTGTAACGCAGTAAAACAAGGTGTTAAACAAATACACATAAAATATATGAATATATACATGCATACAAAAGAAAATATAAAAAATACATAATACACATGAACACAGCAACCAGTCAACCTCTGAAATGACAGAAAAAACAACTTCAAGAAGTAGAACGTAAAATGTTTTTGAAAGAGTGAGCAGACTCAGCTGGTCTAACGAGATCTGAAATTAACACGAAAACCTTTGTTTCCCAACTTCAACTGTTAAACTGCAGTATGACACGCTTATCATGAAGTCTACTTCCTCTGTTCTCTAAGGTGCCATATATATGTAAATGTACTTTTCTTAAGTGTTTGTTACTTAAGGCATCCAAAAAAGTATGCTGTTCTGAAGTATCCAGACATCCGTCCGTCTGTCTGTCCGTCCATCCGTCCGTCCGTCCATCTTTCCATCCCAAGGTCACAGCAGCAGCAGGCTGATCAAAGTACTCCAAACATCCCTCCCGTCAGCAACATTTTCCAGCTCCTCCTGGGGGACCCCAAGGTGTTCCCAGTGTGTTCAGGGTCTGCCCCGGGGCCTCCCACCAGTGGGACATGCCCAGAAGAATGAGCCGAACCACCTAAACTGGCCCCTTCCAACACAAATGAGAATGCGGCCCTACTCCAAGCTCACCCTACCTCTAAGGCTGAGCCCAGTCACCCCTCGGAGGAAGCCCATTTTGGCTCCTTGTATCCGTGATATCACTCTTTCAGTCACTATCCAAAGTTCATGACCATAGGTGAGGGTTGGGGCGTAGATGGACCAGTAAATCAAAAGCTTTGCCTGCTGGCTCAGCTCCCTCTTCACCAGGACAGTCCGACGCAGCGCTTGCATCACTGTGGATGCCTCGCCAAGCTGCCTGTCCACCTCACACTCTGTTTTACCTTCACTACAAGACTGCAGAGATACTTCAACTCCTTCCCTTTAGGGCAGTAACTCTGTCCCCATCCAGAGGGGGCAATCCACCATTTTCTGGCAAAGAACCACGGTCTAAGACTTGTAGGTAGTAACTCTCATCTCAACCACTTCACACTTGGCTGTAAACCACCCGTAGTGCACGCTGAAGGTGTGATGAAGTCAACACCCACTAGAAATGTGATTAACTTTGAGCCATGTATGCGGACACATCTGTCACCTGGATTATACAAGGACCGGGTGGCTCGTAGCAAAGACCCTGGTACTCTGTAGAAGTGTGCATTAATTATCAAAATTGTGCTTTTGCATATACTTCAAATACAAGTATACTTGTTTTCAAGTGACTGTATCTTGATTTTTATGCATCAAAAGGAACACTAATGTGTTTCACTGAAAATATATACAGTACAGTTATAATTTTTTCGACATATTGATACAATTACCACTGTAATAAGTGATCATATAAACTGTAAACTTTGTATATGTTAAAGCTTGTGGATTTTAACAGGACATTTTTTAATTCAGCAGCAAGTAGATTGCCTGTTTTATTGGTGTAATAAAATGACAGAGCTCTATCTTTTCTGTTGAAGCTTTATCTCTCTGTTTTCTGTCTGAGGTTAATAATCTCTCAATTGCATTTTACCTGAGAAAAGGAAAGGCTTGACTTTATCTGTAACAACTGGGTCATTGCTCTCTGTAAACACTGGAGTGAAACAATTCTGTTGAATAAAGAGGAGCTGAATCAGCACAAAGGAGGGAGGTAAAAACTGAGCATTAAAACTCTTAATCTTTTATGTAGCCTGCTGTGTCCTTTCATGATTCACTGTTATCATAACATAGCTGATACGATGTGCGAAACACCAAGAGAGACTGTTCAGCTGTTTGTTAGGTGAAGGTCAAAGTGTAGTTATTCCTGTAGGTCTTAATGCTCTACATTTAATACATCAGTAAACCCTGACAGTAAAACACATGACCTCAAATAAACACAAAAACGTGCTGTCTCCCAGCTGAAAATGTTAAACTGCAATATAATAGTGTAGAGTTTCTGTGAAGTGCTGTAGTGATTCATTTATTCAAAACGCACATTAAACACACATTAAACATGGCTTAATGCGACAATTTCAAACACAAGTAGCTTCACTATAACTCGCAGCATTCACAGACAAACACTTGTCTTTATCTGGACACATTTTCCCCACAAATACAACATGCTAATGTTTTTAGCATAAGCTTATGGCATTTTACATTGTATAACTTAGCTTAACTGCTAGCTGACTTTTCCTCTACTCATATGAAGCCAGGGACAACAGCAACATTTACCAAAGATAACATTACAAAATTTGGCTCCATTACAGCTCACAAGGTTCACTGACAAAACAACTGGCTTATATTAACATGTTTTCCAAACAAATACAACATGCTAACGTTATTAGCACAAGCCTATGGCATTTTATGTTGTTCAGATTAGCCTAGTGATGGGCAGAGATTTTCTCTGCTCATATGAAGCCAGGATAAATCACACACAAGATTTAAAGTACTGTTTTGCAGAGGCTTTATTGTCTTCACAATTTATTGATTCTTATCTCTGAAACAGAAGTAAATAAAAGCTTTTTTTCCACTGAGGGAAATGGTTTCAGCTTACAAAAATAGACAGGAGGTCCATGTCGCCACTACATGCAGTTACATTTCTTGGGAGGTGCACATCAAGCTACAGCATAGGGTACGGTGTAGGCTCTATGTCGACGCAGAGCCAACGCTGTAGCGTCAATTTGACGCAGGAGTATAAATCACATTAGATTTATTGTAAGGTGGCACCCTCTTATTACGGGAGCAGAGGAGGAAGTGAAGTGACGCAGTATAAAAAGCAACAAAGTCCACGTAATGTTGCATTTAGATGGAAGAAGTTCCCATAGGATGTGTGGGACTGGTGGTGGATGGGTTAAGCAAACACAGGGCTTTCACCCAGGAGACGGGTGTTAGTGCCTCGAAGTCAACATCGACTTCTTTTGAAGACAACACAGTGTAGTATGCCAGTATGTGTAGCATACTACCAATTTACCTATTTAAATCACACCATTGTTTTTTTTTTTTAATTCAACCACCTAGTGTTGTTACCTAAACCTAACCACAAAGTTTTAAAGTGTAACTGTGCCATAACGTTATGAAACACTTTAAAACTGTGAGTGTTAGGAAGGTAACAGATATGTATTTGGGGACGGACATATAGTTTTTTGGAGGTCATTTTGTCGTTTAGATATGACATGATATACAGCACAAAAACAACTCAGATCAACATGACAAAGAGCTCAGGGCGCTGACCTGCCCTCCATCGATCCTAATCCAATTGAGCATATGGGACGTGCTGGTACCCCAATTTGCAACCCACAAGACTCAATTGTTATGCCACCAACACCTTGGTGCCAGACAACACAGGACACCCCAAGAGGTCCTGTGCCAATGCCTTGTCAAGTCATAGCAAAATCTGATCCAAGAAGGCCCCATGGTGGATTGGACTTGACTCTGGGGCATCGCCATATCCGATAGATCCTCCACTGGATTGGCATCTGGGGATTTTGGAGGGCAGGTTGACATCTTGAGGTCCTTGTCATGTTCCTCAGGCCAGTTTTCAGGCCAGAGTTGAGTTTGCCTGTCAGTGGTTTTAATGTTGGGACTTGTCGGAGTATATTTTATATATTTTGTACTAAACTGATGTTTTTACACATTTAAAAAATGTAATAGTTTTGTACTTGTACATAAAGTACTCAATACTGTAGTTAATAATACTTTTTACTTCTTTACATGTGCTGTATGTCATGTTGCATACCACCAGGTGATAATGGACTTACAGTTTACATACTGTATACTTACACAAACTGGATTCTGTAATGTATGTGTTCACAGAGGTGGAAAGGTTTGATTTTAACAGGACATTTTCCAGCTCAGCAGAAAACAGAAAACTGGCAGTTCACTGTTCTAATAATTTAATTTTAATTTAATTTTTAATTTTATATACTTTATTAATCCCCCTGAGGGGAAATTCAAATTTTTCACTCCGTTGTCATTAACACACAGGTCCGAAATACACACACATGCATAAACAGGACCTATACCTTGTCTTTCTGTGGAGCTTAATCTTTCCTGTTGTATTTCTTTGGTTAATGATCTCTTGAGTTTATTCTACCTGAGAAAGGGAAGGGCTCTACTTTATTCTCTGTTTGCCTGGCATCACAGAAGCCTGCCTGTGTTTGGATGATATCTTTTATGATGCATGTTCTTGAACTCCTTGAATATGACAAACAGCTGAGGGCACTGACCTGCCCTCCATCCCCAGATCCCAGTCCAATCGAGCATATGGGACTTGCTGGTACCCCACTTTACAACTTTAGGACTCAAATATTCTGCTGCCAACACCTCGGTGCCAGACACCACAGGACACCCCAAGAGGTCCTGTGTCAGTGCGTTGTCAGGTCATAGCCAAATATGACCCAAGGATGTCCCATCATGGATTGGACTCCACTCTGGGGTGTCAGTACATCTTATAGATCCTCGATTGGATTGGCAAGTGGTTGATGACTTGAGCTCTTAGTCACATTCTTTGGGCCAAGTTTTTGCTGTGTGTCCTGCCGGGGTTGATTTCCAACTCAGCAGGAAGCAGATTGGCCCTTTATTGGTCCAATAAAAAGATCTATAGTTTCTGTCTTATCTTTCTGTTTTCAGGTTAATTATCCCTTACTTGAGAAAGCCATATGTCACATTGATTAAATAAGTAGATCAGAGCCAAGTGTTTTATGATTCAATGATAAAGCAGCTACAGTATATAAGTCTGGAGGTGACAGCAGGTTGGCAAAGTGATCCACAGTGTGACTGAAATGGTAAGAACTTTTAATTTTATTTCAATAGCAATTTTAATGTGTAAATTATGGTTTTAAAAATTGACATGTGAATTTGCAACATATACAGATTGTGTGTTAGACTGTACTGTAACTGCTGCAGTGGACAGTTTCGTAAATAGGTAAAGTTTCGGCTGAAAAATCATCCTGGAAGCAAAAGGGGGCGTGGCCAGTCAGAAAATTTGACAAATTTTAGGAGTCATCCCATAAAAGAAGAGAGCATGCTTCCACAATTTGAAAGTTTTCAGATTTTACTCCTTATTTTTCTCATAATTCTTTGTAAACGTTTTATTTGTGTTTTGCCTTTTATGCAAATATTTCTTGCGATTTCAAAACTGGTATACATTTATGGTCGCTAACAGTTTTGTGCTATGTCCCAGATGAAGCTGTCAGTGTTGTTGCTGCAGACCCTGCTTGCTCTGTCCTCTGCCAGTCTGCAGGACATCTTGAAGAAGAGCTCACAGACCACAGAAGGTAAACGGACAGAATTTCCTTCGTTACAGACACGACACCTGGTTTTTCTTTGTGCCTTAGAAAGAAAAAAGGTGGTATTTAGGCCTATTTCTTTTTAGAGTCATCTTGTTTGTTGATGATATGTCTCTATATCTATCTTCAGCATATTTTTCACTTACATAGTTTAAGGGTTGATTTACTTACTAAGATATAAATAAATTGTGTCCTCTCACTGTCCGGCCACCAAAACCCACATGAGAGATCTGAGTTGATAAAAATGTTGATATACTCATCTGAGTCACCTCCAATTATTACTCATAACTGTAGACTTAATGAGCAGCAACAAGTGTTTTTTGTCTCTTAAGCCCATGTTCCACTGGACAAAATAACACTAACACTCACTAACATCTGGCTTTTGTATTAAATGGCAAAGGTTACAATTGGCATTCATTCCCAGGACAAATGTTACTGGTATTTATCGGGTCCAGCTCCAATCAGCAGCAATGGAAATATGATACCCAGGTGGAAGCACAAATTTTCGTCCCGGCGCATGCAATGATATGTCTCCATCCAAGCAGTGCTTAAAGATCCTTTGAGTCAGACATAATTGAAAAAAAAAAGAAGTAATCCCTTAACATTTAACTGGGCTACATTTACCATAATTTACAGGACATAACACAACATAGTTAGAAGCTACTTGCATGTTTGGTGTGCAAAAATCTTAAATTGTAAAGTAACTAAAGCTGTCAGATAAGTGTAGCAAAAGTACAATATTCAGCCGACCACTCAGATGTCGTGGAGTAACATTAAAAGTTAATAGTGGAATGAAAGTAAAATACACAAGCAAGGGACTGTTCTTTACTAATCAGAGGAAGGGGGTGGCCTGTGTGGACTGAAGTGATTCTGATGAAAAACTATTTAAAGCGCATCCTACATAATGTGTTCAAAGACCATCGGAAATTTAAAAATCCACAGTAATTTCTGTTTTTACAGTTTCTGGCTATGATAAATGGTGTAATTTTGACAATCTTTATTAAAGAAAACATGCCTTCCAAACAGCTGGTTTGGAAGGCATGTATTCTTAAAAAATTGGCAGTAAAATAATACAATATACAGTTATTTAAAGTTGTATACCCCTTTCCTAAGGAAAAATAAAAAACATGAGACCCACTCCAGTGCTCAAAAAATTATTTGACATGTCCCCCCGAAAAAAATACATATATGAAAAAAAGTACTTCCACTGCAGTTGTTTATTTTTGGGTAAAACACTTATTTTATTTCAGTCAGGAACACTTTAGCCAAAGAAAACTGTATTTCCATTAGCAGTATTATATTTGTCAGTATGGCTCTGTTCTGGGGCCTCTCTACCTTTCCTCTGGCCTACACAGAAAGCCTTCGTAGTGTGCCTCTGCCTTTATGCCACTATTATCATAGAAATCAAAATAAAATGTATTTATGATATACTTAGATTTAGGGTTGGACAGAAGCATTTGTTTGCTAGATACTGAGCACAAGAGCAATAAAAAAAACATCAAGAAAAACCTTTGGTTTTTAAGGGGTCTTTAAAAAAATCTTTGCCCCCCTTTACTCTATCCAGTATTATCTGTCCATGCATTTGGTTCCAGTTGGATTTGAAATTTGTTTGATGTTTGTGATTTGATGACTGCTTTTATTTCACATTTTAAGACATGGATTCGTTGCCCTGATCTTGTTTTTCCCTTTCATAAATGTTGTTTCATAAATACATGTGATATGACTGTTTGTTCGTTTTCCACCTTTCTTTTTATACAGTTCCCTTACGGGACCCAGATCTAGGGAACAAGATTCCTCAAATCACCGCCAATGGATCAATGTTGGCTCTTCTAACTCCTGCTGAGAAGAGGCTGAGTCGATCCTCCTATATCTTTAGTGGCTCCACCCTGGAATGGCAGACCTGGCGTGGCTCTCTCCCCTCCGGTGCTGTTTATATTTACAACGACTATGCGAGTCGCTATGAATATGTCTGTAAGTATGGGTGTGAGGCTGGCTTCTACAATCCTGGCATGGGTAGTTATTGCCGCTACCCCTACGCAAGGCTAGAATATCTCACGTCCTCATTTGAAATCCTGGTGAACAGAGAGAACTTTGAGATCCTGGAGTGGAGGGATGATTCCTATGGTTCAGTGCCCCATAATTCAGCCAGAACTTGCTATTCTACAACTGAGACCAAATATGTAGGAAAGAATGTGTATGGTCTGGGGAAGGTACATGCTGAGCATAGCTGCTTCTACCTGCCTTGGGAGGGTAAAGAGTATTGGTACGAGCACTACCAGGTCCTGACCATCAACAAAAATATACACAGTGAGCACATGTCAAATGTCAAATACAACACCAATGTTGAAACTGTTGCACTTCCTCCAGAGGTCATGACCAAGTCCACCATAACAAACAATGCTTGCAGCCCAGTTGTGAAAACAGTTGTGCTCTCAGGAACATATCAGGAGGAGAAAAGGTGGGACACCAGCATTGCCACCACAATCGGTGTCAGCAGTACCATCACTGCCCAAATCCCATTCATCAGCGCAAGTATTGGGATCAGAGCTGAGACAACAGAGAAATTATCCAGTGGAAGCACCAAGGTAAAATCGAAAACCCAATCTGTCTCTGTGGAGCTAACTGTCCCTCCAAACCACTCCTGCAGTGTCAGTATGCTGGGACTTAAGCACAAAGCAGACATCCCATTCTCAGCTCGACTTACCCGCACCTACAGGGATGGGAGAACCAAATCGGCGGACGTCACTGGGGTGTTCTATGGTGTCAACGTTGGAGAAGTCCGGTCTGTTGTGGATCGCTGTGAACCTGTACCCAATGCTCAGCCCTGCAGCCCCGAAAGAGAAATGGAGGAGACATCTTAAGATATCTGTTCTGACATATTCAATATAACTGTTGATGATAAATGTAGTGTACTAATTCTACTTCTAATTGGCTGGACAGCAGGGTAGGTTTTAGGAGTAGTTGCATTAAGAGCAATTAATATATTATATCTAATGTTGATGTTTCTTTTCAAACCAATTCACCAAATCTACATATCTCTGCTGGCTGATTAGTTACATGCACTCACCAGAAGTGAAGGATAAATTAGTTGGTTAATGAAAATCTCAGCCTCTATAGCTGTATTAAACGACCATTCCAGGACTTGAAATATCATTTTTTATGCAGACGATACAATCCTTTCCATGACTAGTTTGGATAAATTTTGTTGATTATGTTGATGGTTCATGTGGTTGTGGAGAGTCTGTCTGAGTTTGTTGACTAGAAACACTGAATACTGGAATGATACAGAACATATTATGATTTGCAATGTGCTGGTGACACTGGAGTGTAACAGATCACTTTTGAATTATCAGGAGTTAATTTTGTACGTGGTAAATAAATAAACTCCCCTTATCTTGCGTAAGTGTGTTTTGTCTTGTCCTGTTTATTCTCTAATGTTAGGATTAGTAGGTAAAAGGTGCATCGCCACAATGTAAAGTCTGTACTGAAGCTAATGGGTATCCTAATAAACTAAACTAAACAAATCATGTGAACATTGCAGTCTGCCTTTAAGACGTTCCTCACCAGTATGTGCACAGAAAGACACCAGGTGGTGCTCAAGCATCACCTGGTGTCTGTCTGTCTATCTATCTTTTTTTTTTTTTTTTTTT